GTTCTCTGCCATCTATGTGGGTGATGTTGATGCAGTCCCTAGCTCCTCAACATCTCCAACCTGCTCTGGCAGGCATTCAGGAAGAGAACCAACAAATGAAAGCCTCTCTCTCCTCTCTCTCTCTCTCTCTGTCTCTCTCTGTCCCCTCCTCTCTCTCTTCCTCCCTCCTTTTATCAGTTTTCCTGGTTTTTAAATTAGTAAATATAAATGAACATTTAAGAAAAAAAGAGTAAGGTAGTTTTAAGCTATTGATCATTCTACTTGATATCTACAACCAAATTTTGAATTTCTACAATCACAGAGGTAGCCATTTCTTTTGTTTTAGAATATGCTAGTTAGAAAATTTCTTATTTAAACAAGTATGTCTTGATCATGTTTTACTTCTTTAAAATTTAGCAAAGACAACTTTCAGAAGTCCCTTCAACTTAAAACTTTCCTCCTGTGTAAGTTCCTCATCTTTCCTTTTCTTCTAGCATTTATTTTAGGAAAGCTTATCAATGCAAAGTTTTTCTGTACTCCTTTGCAATGCAGATGCATCTTTTATCAATTTTTCCAATTTTAGAACCCGAGGCTGTCTTTCTCAAAGTCCTGCAAACTTTTCTTGAAAATTCAATCACTAAGAATCCTGCCTGCCAGTCTTTACAGAACTCAGGGAATAACTTCAATACTAAGCATTTCTTCAAAACACAGATGTGTTTTTCAAGATTTCTCTATTTTACAGACAGAGTGACAGAGAGGAGGAGAGACAGACACATGGGCAGCACAGACTCAAGCACTGCTTTCCAGGATCATAGCAGGATGCTGGATTCAGAATGGAGTAGTTGGGGCCAAAATTAACGCATTAATATTCCCACCATTGTTGCAAGTGGAGGCTAAACTGACTGTGCCACAACATCAGTGCCCCAAACAAAGGTGTCTTCATTACACCGATCATTTCTCTGCTGTGGCATACACCGGCATTTTCTCACCACTCAGAGGTCTCTGGTCTCTGGTCTCCCTGCTGCTTTTTACAAATGTCCTGCACAATTTCTTTTCACACATTTTAGTGTAGTGTTCTGAACTCTCAGTTGTTCACATATAATGTCGTTCAACTGCTTGATCAATGACATGGTTTATGAAGAGTAAATTTGCTTCATACAATGAACTTAAAACTCCCTTCCTACAATAGTGACAGTTAAGGCTCCTTTTACTTCCAGAGTCAAGAACCATCTCCTTTATGCACATTTTATACTTTTCCTTGTTCCCTTCCTCACCAAAAATGATTCTTTGGTGTCCTTTGAAATCCTCTTTTTTTTCTTTTGCTGATCCATAGGTAATTTTGTATGTGAGATTGTGTCTCATGTTCTGTTATGTTTTTACTTTATGTTTCTTCCTTTCCTGAGGACATTCTTTCTCAGCTGTAAATAAAACAGTGAGCTCCAAATCTCCTTTGCTAGGACAGTACGTACTGATCCCTGACTCCTAAGGGGCAAATAACACCCTCATTGTTGAGGCACTTTATTTATTTGGTTTCTAGATTGCTGCACTATCCTAGTTTGCTAGTTATTACATTTTGTGTGTGTGTGTTGCCATTTCCCTATGTACTTAATAGAGGAACATGCAGGTCTCACTCTTTAGATGCATTCTCTTCTGTCCACACTCACACCCTAGGACCCCCATGACATCAGAGACTTTTTAAAGTATTATATGTAAGACTGTAAAGGGTGAACATATATGTCAAGCCTGGACTTTTCCCAAAAATCTTTGTTGATACTCAGTGATTTACAAGGCAAGAAAACCTGGACACAACATTAAAAACAATGTTTAATATAACTGAATGATTCATGAGGAATTTTAAAGAATAGATATGGAGGAAATGTTTTTGATCAAATAATTGCTTTAACCTTCTTATGAAAGCTGACTATCTCCACCTAGGAGAACATTTTCACAATTTTCTTTAGATAGTAAGGGATCTTGACAGAAAACATAGAAACGTATTCTCCCTAGTTGCATACAGCATTTTCTATTTGCTGATTCAATTGGTTATTGTTGAGCACTTTCATGTGTGCTATCAAGAATATGTACAAGATCTTATAAAGTATACAACACTGGATAGAACTCACTGGACAAATGGTAAGATATAAATAAAATAGGATGTGATACCAAGAGGAAGAGAGAAAAATAGAGATGCAGCATGATTATGTGATGTGCCTGGATTCTGATACCAGCAGATGGGCTAAAATAATTCCATGAACTTGAGTTTCTTCTCCTATTAACTTGAGGCTGTTATGCACAAACACGTTAATGCTTGAACAGTGCTTAGGCCATATTTTGCACCCAAAGAAACGGTATCCAAATCAAGTAGCGATCCTCTGTATCTACTCTAGTTCTTGAAGTCAATATCAACTAATACCCCATGCTCATATTGTGCTTTTTAAAAAACTTCCACATACAAAGAAGAGTGTATTGTTTGTCTTTATGTGTGTGGCTTTATTTAGCAGGATGCTCTCCATTCCATCAAACTTACTGTTAAGAGAGGATTTCACTTTTTCTTACATCTGAATGATATCCTAACTTGTGCAGATGTCACAAGGGGGGCACTGCAGTTGATTCATATCAAACTTATTGTGAATATGATGAAGTATGTATTCATAGACATAATTTAGGTGATGTTGAATTGATTTTCACAATATAAACTTTCAACAGGAATACATTAAGACGCTTTAGAAATAAGGGTTATTGTGAAGAAAATTTAGCCATTCAGAGTACTCACAGGAAGGACATTCTTAGAAGAATGTATAAAATTGTTAATGTATGACCAGATGTTTAAAGCCACATCACTGAGTTTTCCCCTTGGATGTGCTAATGTTACAGAAATGGTGACATCTTTGAAAATAGACACCAAATATCTGTGCACTAGGGAATTCTGTCTGCTTTGTCACAACAATCCGTCGACCTATGGCTAGTCCTCTAAGCTTGCTAAAACTATGACAACATAGTAAGTCAACCATGAATAGAACATACTCACTCTCTAAATAAATTGCTCTGTACTACAAATATTGCGATAATCATTGTGACACATCATGCAGGATCCATGAAGAGGCTTGATCTTCCACTAAGGCAGGAAAGATATGCATGAGCTCTGATGTGACAGCAGAAGAAGCCAGTACTTCTAGAAATGCATAATTCTGTTTTTACAGCAGCAGATTTATTATCAATATTTTATCCATAATTGCTTTTCTAAATATTGTAGGAATTAGAACAGAAAGTCCAAAATTGTCATTAGAGACATATTGGTAACCACATCTTACTAGATACAGTTATCAATATAGTTATCAATATATAAGTTGTATTCTTTTCCTAAATATCTTTTGTCTAATATTATAATCCCAAGTCAGAACATGGAATCTGTAACTTTGTTCAGTAACTGTTCTCATCACCGAGGGCATTTATAGAAATGGATATAGAAGATGAAGTTAGCTAAAATTACTTAAATCTTAGAAATACAACTCGTCCAGACTTGGCACAATGACTCAGTGACTAAAATCCTCGCCTTTCATGTGGCAGGATCCCCACATGGAAGCTGGTTCGAGTCCTGTGTGCTCCACTTCCCACCCAGCTCCATGCCTGTGGCCTAGAAGAACAACAGAGAATGGGCCAAAACCTTGAGACTCTGCCCCCATGCAGGAGGCTCAGAGGAAGCTCTTGGCTCCTGGCTGTGGGTCCTCTCATCTCTGGATGTTGCAGTCACTTAGGGAGTTAACTCCTTCTCTCAGTAAGTCTGATTTGCCTTTCCAATAACAGTGAATAAAATTCTAAAAAAGAAACACTAATCATCTGAATATATTTTTATTTATTTAGGTGTTTAACTACACTAGTTTTACATTTTTAATATGTGATTGTATCTATAAAATACACCTGTAAAACACAATTTAAATATGTAAATTTAATGTGTGTTGATTATAAAATTACAAGATCCAGATAATTTTTAAAATTGTTTTATTTTTTTAACTCATTTTATTTACAAAAGCGAATATATTTCACAATATAAATTTAGTAGCAGATTGACAGTTCCCAGTCAACCCTCCCTCCTACTAGGGTCCTCCTTCTTTTTTTCTTTTTTTTCCTTTTCAGCTTTTGCAGCAGCTTGCTTCAATTTCCCTTTGTAATCACTGCCTTAACTGTCAATGTCTATTAAGATATTCTTCTATTTTATCATATCAGGAAATCAAAATAATAAATAACATTGGCCACTAATCTTTATAGGTACAGAAATAGAATGTCAATTTTTGTAAAATCAAAATGGTCTTCAACCAACTTCACTGATAATTTCATCTATAACTGATTTCACAGTGTATCAGCCTACATGCATATATTTATTCAAACCACCAAAAGTTTTAAAATACAAAAAATAACCCCTGACACTTAACAGCTTCCTGTGTTCTGCAGACTCCCTCAGGAACGTGCAAGACCATTGTGTAATGAAGCTTAGAAATATACAAAGGCAAGCTAATTTAAATTACATATTTTATAAATGAAAACGTAAGCTACAGTTTTAAAAATGCATAAAGTGAACTGCAAGGAAATGACAATGTATTTCACAATGAGTCCAGTGATTCACTATGTATAGCCCCTTGTTAGAAGATTTTTTTAAATATCTTGGGCATTTGCAAATAGAAAATTTGAAGCTTGCATGTTATTAAAATAAAAAAATATATTCACATGATTATACTCAACTCATAACCTAAAAGCATGAATATTTGAAGACCATTTTTCAATATTTCCAAATGTATTTACATGTTCTCATAATAAAACATTTACTAATTCATATGTAATATATGAAGAGTAATATAATATATAGATGAGTTATTACATAATCATTAATTATGTTGCATGACAACATATATAAATTATACAGAATATAAATTGGAATATATATAAATATATATGACACAGATATTCATAACACATGAAAATATGCTGCACTGCTTAAACTTCAGTGCTATGTTGTGAACTCTTACCTGTCCAGGGCCTGCGTTTTCACAGACATAGCTCTCGTAGTGTTCAGAGAACTCAGGAGCGTGATCATTAATGTCAAGAATTTGTACATGCACGGGAACTGAAGAAATCTGACGTACATTGTCTGCAAATGAAAAATGCAAAATAAAACGAAAGATCATCAGGCTGTCTGTAGAACAGTGTCATCAAAACACTTGAACAGCTGTATCATAACTCGAGCATTGCTCAAGAAAAACCGAAAAGATTTCTAAATAATTTACATATTTTTACAGGCAAAGTTGCAGAAACTAAAAGGACAGAAATGAAGAATGAGACGCAGAAAGAGACAGAGAATCATGTATTCTGACTGCTGGTTTATTTCCCAAATGGTTGACATGACTGAGACTGAAAGCTAGGAACTCCATCTTGGTCTGACTTGAGTGGAAAATGCATAAATGCATGATCCACCATCTGATTTTCCCAGGCACATTAGCAAGGAGGTGGCTCTGAAGGGGCATGACTTGGTTGAAATTGGCTCTCAAATATGTGATGCTATTTTTAAAAACAACAAATTAACCTCCTACACCACACACCAAGCCACGGTTTACATACTTATCCATGATATATGTTGTATTCAACTCAAGCAATATTTATTGAAAACCATTTGTCTGCTACGTGTTACGAGAAGTGACAAATACAGTAAAAATAGAATCATATATACAGTAGCTTGCGAAAGATCAAGTGTGCAGCTGTTTGTATTAACTCATACAGGACAGGTTGGTATATGCATCATTAAGTTCTCCAACTTTGCTATATCAGCATTCAGAAACCTGTGGTTGCAGCTTCAAGTGGAAGTTGCAGTCAGTGAAGGTTATAGGGTATAGCGTTTACAAACAAAAATGAATGTGTACCAATGATATAATCATATTTAAAATAAAGTGTTTACAACAAAGTGTAGGCAAAATCATCAGAATGGATGAAACATACAGAAGAGCGTTTTGGCTTAGTAGGTTTTCGAAAAAAAAAAGTAACCCAAAACAAAATTAAATTCACAATGCAAGCTTACTAAAACATGAAATATTAGTATTTCCTATTACATCTCTAAAATTAATTTGGAATACATAATTCAGGAAGAAAATCACAAGGCAGAAGTTCACAAAAGAGAAAAAGAAAATGCTCTCTGACAGAGCGTCTCAGTCTCTCCACAGCCCATGCTTGCATTTGCCAGATTCTCGGCTGAGGGCGTGCATTGCCCTCTGTCTGGCAAGCAGCTTGCTGGAGCCCTGGTCTTGGCTCACTCCATGCAAGTGGCCCTCTGCACCTGTATGACAACAACTGCCTTTAAATAAGCTCAAATGTGCCTTCTGTTTCATTGTCTACTTGTGTATTTTTTGTTTGCTTTTTTTTCCTTCTCTTATGATCTTTCTTATAATACATACAACATCTGGGTTGATTAAAATTACTTGCTTTATGTCCTAGCATGTGGGAGATGGAATTTCATTTTAGGTTTCCTAGCATCCATATGGCACAGATCTGGCTATTCCATGCCTGTGTAGGCATACAATAGTTAGTGGAGTGTGTGTGTGTGTGTGTGTGTGTGTGTGTGTGTGTGTAGTTCTAAAGCTTTAATGGTGAAATTATTAATGAATGAATATTCATTCTCATTAGTTATCATGCAGATACATATCACCATAGAACATCTTATTGCATAAATTGGTTGTAAAAAGGACTTGAGCTATGAACACAAAAAAACGAAAATAAATAAAACATTTATCTAAAGTGTTTAACATTTATCTGAAAAAAAAAATGTTTACAGTTGAGTTAAGCCTACACATCTGCATTGTTTTGTGAAACAAGCATGAATTTTCGCAGCTTCAATGTAAAGGGATTAGTGGTTGTGTTCATTTAGCTGGCAAACTGATAAATAGCTTGGTGCTTACTTTGGGAAGCTTTCCCTGAGAGACACTGCTAAACACAATGAACTTCATTTGCTGGAAAAACATACATTAAAGAGGAATGCTCTGCTGTGATCAGCATCCTTGTTGTGCTGCAAGCTTTTCACTGTGGTTAAGAAATACAGCTGAAGGTTTTGAAGAGCTATTGGTGACAGGAGAAAACATTTGTACATAATACTAATAAAGGCTAAATGGTCAACATCAAGCCTTTTAACATAAATGCCAAGGGCAGATAATGTAAAACATGTATTTCCCTGAAGCAATTCTAATATATGTTTAATTTCATAAATCTTAGTTCAATGTTGAGGTAAATACATGAAAATCTGCTACCCAGTATAACAACCAGTTTTCTCTTAAGATGAAAAGTTAGAATTAAATTAGCATTATCTTTGTAAGTATCTGAAATCACTTAATTTAGTCTTGAAACCTCATTTCTCATCCTCTTCTTCAGCCTTGTTACAAATAATTATAGTAATATGAAATTTCTCACTGCATAAAATATGTTTGGTTTCATTCTAAGAAAATTGATTATATGAGAGCACTTAAAGAATTTATGTAGATTGACTCATAACCTGAATTTATTTTTGTGCAACTCTATCATAAGAATTTGTCATTTTTACATCACATTTTCTATGTACCATTTAGACCCCTGGTACAGCATCAGGAGCAGACCGGCATCAAGGTGCAGATGCTAAACACTCCATAATGATTTTAATCTCCTGATTATGAAACAGTGATTACATTCTAACAATTAAATCATATGACATTAAGAACACTCAGCTTGAGGTGTGCTTTGTAGTGCAGCCAGTTAGGCCACCATCTGCAGCTTTGGCATTCCCTCTGCAGCTAAGTCTGAAGTACTATCTGAAGCATCTTCAACTGAAGCATCAGCACGTATCCCTAAAGTGGAAGATGCCCTAGAGACATGGTACCCAGACTGCAGTTCCTGGCTCCTGGCTTGACCTTGAACGTTAGCCCGACTGTCACAACGATTTGGGGAATGAACAGGAGGATCAGGGAGCTCTCATGCTTTTTCCCTTTTTTGTCATTTGGCCTGACCCATAAAGAAACAAATAATTTTAAAATATGCATTTCATAGGCACTGGGACCTCATTCATCTTATAAACACTTGGGTACTCAGAGTCATTTAAAACATGTTTTTCCTATATTTTTATTTTCTATTATTTAGCATAATATTCTATAAAGTACCATGAACTTAACATTAGATTATTTCCAATAGATCAAAAATGTATAGTATATGTATTAGAATATATATATATATAAATATATATATACACTCATACATAGGGGTGTGTGTTATGCATGTAGTATTATTAAATGCTATGTTTCCATTAAATTTACTTCAGTTCTTATTGGCTCCACTTTCCTCAGAGTTGGATTACTTTCACTTTTTTTCCTTTTCCCTATCCTTTTTGTCCACTTTATTTCAGAATACTTTTAAATTAAGGAAACAAAACCTAAGAAGTAGTGATTCCGTTTCCATACGCTGCTTACCATCATTTGCTCTGTCAGCATATTGCATCAGCAACTTTGTCGATATTTATGAACCACACCCAAGTTTCCCTAATTATTTTATTCTAATTTCTTCTCCCACTACCCCAGCATCTAGTGATCAAATTCTCCACGCATTTTGAGGTTTTTTTTCCATATAGTTTTTGTTAATTTTAACTTCCACATGTGTGTGAGAACATGCGGTAACTGACTTTCTGTATGCCTTCTTTCACTCAACATGACTTCCAGCAGTTTCCATTTCTGTTCTGAATAACTATGGAATTATTCTTTTTCACTGATAAGCAGTATTCTACTGTGTGCTCATTCCACCTTTCAATTAATCTGATGGTGGCTACATTGGTTGATTAAATAATTTGTTATCATAAAGACATGGAAACACTTTTCCCAGCATCATTTATTAAAAAAAAATTTTTTTTAAATATACGGTCTGAATATTCTGTTAAAAATAGGTTAATTTTATTTTACATATATATTTTGTTTTACACACACATGTATATATATATGTATATGTATAAATGTCCTTTCTTTTCATCCTACTTGTGTAGCACTCACTGTGTAAGCCTTGAAATCAGCCCTTGGGATGACCTAGCTTGGCTTTTCAACCTGGGTGTTGCTTTGGCTGTTCTGCATCATTTGTACTTCCACGTGAATCTTGAGCTTTTACTTTCAGATTCTGCATTTGATTCTGATTCTGATTTGGCATTTTAAGTGAGATTTATTAGAAGCTGTAGACTGCTGTAGGTAATATCAGCGTCTTTAGCAGAGTAGCTGTAATCTATGAGCAGCAAATAGCTTTTCATTATTTGTGTGTTTGGAATGCCTCCATGGGTTTTTAACGTTCCATAACTGCCATTATAGTGATTTTTCCACTTATTTCATTAAATTTAATCCTAAATATTTGATTACAGTAGCTACTTTGAGAATTACTTTAAAATTTCTTTCAGCAAGATAATTGTTTGTTGGTAAGAGAGAAAAGCTACTGTGTATAGATAAGAGGTTAAGTTTGTATCCTGCTATTTTACTGAATTGGCTTACCAGACCTATTTTTTTTTTCTAATGCAATATTTGCAGTTTTCCATACAGAACATGTCATCTACAAAACTGTAAATTTTGACTTTCTTCTTTCCAATATTAATTCCTTTCTCGTCTCACTCTTTTCTAATACATTCAATACCACATCAAATAATAGTGCTAAAAGATATCCATGTCCTGTTCCAGATCTGAGAGTCAGCATTTTCAGCTGTTCCCCATCCAGAAGGTGTTGTGTGGTTGGTGTGTCAAAACAGCCTTTATAAGTGTGTGGTGTACCCCTGCACCTCAGTTGTTGAGTTATGTCAGCTCTTACCAAATGTGTTCTGTACATCTACTGAAATGATCATGCTTTTTTTCATTTTTCATTTTTTTGGAACTGCTTTATGATGTTTGTTAATTTGTGAATGCTGAATCACCATTCCATTCCTGGGATAAATCCCAAGAATTATTTTCTGTATTCTCAATCAACAAGGGACAGTGTGTCATAGAATTAGACAGCAGGTGCAAGAATCCAACAGAATTGTGGCTTATCCCTTTTTCCTCATTTAGCAGTTTAGAGAAAAAAAATGCAGAGGCTTCATCCTTTGGTGAAAAATTTCACAAAATTGTGTCTAGGATGTTATTACATGAAGCATTAAGATAATTTACTTGCACACGACTTACCAATACTTGTGACTGCATTTTAAACTGACATTTATTAATGAAATCTGAGAAGGCATTTAAGAGGTGAAGAGGACAGTTTTCTCCCTGGTGATCCCCAACTGACAGTTCCTGTTGAGATGGTTTCTTCTTTTCTGCTTTTTTTCTGACATATACACTTTTTTCTTCTTCTGATAGACACACTGGTAAACTGGCCTTTACTATATGTCTATGGAATGAGGAATCTTTTAAATTACAAATTCCTGCGGTTCTTTCAAATGAACTTTATATTTTGACAATTGTATGGACACCTACCTAACCATTATAAGGAAACTTTGGGGCCACAGCCTGCCTTCATACACGCTTGACATCATTTAGCTTCAACATTAACATGTGATTGACTGTGTATCATGTTTGCTAATAAATGCTTGAATATCACCTGTAAACATCATAAGTGATGACGATATTTGCCAGATTATGTATTTATAGCATGTTACCATATGTGTTTTTATGCAAAATCTATCTTGTACTTCGTATTTGTTGGTTAGTTTTTGTTTCGTTTTGTGATGTTAAAGCTGTTTTCATTTCCCAGAGTCATAAAATGACATATTACTTCAGCTATGGGCATTTGTCCTAAAGGTTTTAATGTCAGTTGGAGCACATGCACCCCCATTTGGCTCCATTGGGTTTCGGGGCTACCTCCGTTCCTATTCACAGCTTCGCACTCTTGTGAAGCAACGGGCGGTGGTGCAGGTGGCTGCGCACACGCCCTTCATGTAGGAGGTCGGGTCTGAGTTCTCTCACTCCTGTCTGTGATCCAGTTCAGCCCTGGCAGCTGAAGGCATTTGGGAGTGAACCAGTTGGAGCAAGCCACTTCTCTCTGTTTCTGCAGTCACAAATGAATTTTTTCAGAAATAATCTGATAAAATATTGAAAATATCATTGTCAACTCTGTCTTCTTAAAGTCTTTTCATATAGAATGATATATTTTATATAAAATGCTCATTTTAGCATTTCATATCTATAAGTGTAAAATATTAAGATTATGATTGTATTAATTCAGTGTAGAACATTTAATGAAACGAGGTAAAAGATTTGCTCTTATATTTTTCTAACTAATAAACAATGAGGAGTATTATTTCAATAATTTTAATAAATAATTTTTAATGCCTGTGATTTATTTTTTAAAAAATACATATTTCAAAGATGTGTAGTCTTTCTTTGAACTCATTTGTATTATTTTTTTCTCAATAGTTTTTAAAAGAATGGCATTATAACTACTTTCCTCCCAGAAATATGCAACGAAGAAACAGCTTTTATTCTCTGAAAAAGCAACTTTGCGCTTTCTAACATGGAAAGCCTTGGCATTTCCTCTGTTGTTGTAGCCTTTGGTCTTTTGTCACACTCATTCCCTTTCTTTAAATTTTAGTTAAACTAAAATTTTAAATGCAAACCAAAAATCTCCTGCAGTGTTTCCATAGAGCTATTCAATATATCATAAAAAATGCAAAATAATGTAAGACACGCTTTCCATCCCACCTAATATCCCTCCAATTGTTCCTTTGCAGGATAAGGTATGTTCTTCAAGTCTTCAAATAAGACGTTGAAAAAATGTACAAGGCTTTTAAAATTCTATATAAAATCACTTATGATAAAGTTTGAGTACAGATTATTTTCTACCCATAACTTTAGTTTTATACTGAACAATATTAATCCATTGACTAAATAATGGAGACTATTTTTGTAAAGTTTTCTATATTGCAGGTATTCCTTTAAGTTTGAATTAGTTTGAAAGTCAATGTATTTATTTGTAATGTTAATTATGAAATAATAGTAAAGTTATATGATTTTATTTGTTTTTGCAACCTAAAAAATTAAACTTTGCTGATAAAAAAATTGGAAGAGGAAGTAATTTGTCATTACTGATTATTGAAGATGACATAGAATATATAATACCTGAATTAATCTGAAAATATAAAGATAGCATATAAAGAAATCTTTCAAATTTTATACTATTATTTCATTAAAAAATGATTCATTACAATGTATGAGTTTTAAAGGCTAATGTATTATAACCCCTACTCTCTGAAAAACTGAAATATATCATCACTTGATCCTAAAAACATGGAATGAGGCACAGGTATTTTGTGTTTGAATTCTAACATAACAACCAATGAATTAACAAACTTAATCTAACATGATTATCATTAGTTGAAATAAATTTCAGTTATTTTAATTTAAAATTTCAATTCCCATTCAATAGTTAAACTACTTTTGGGTTAATAGAAGTGCAGTGAATATTGATAGTTGAATATTAAATTGAGGATTTTTAAATGGAATTATTTCTATGAAACATGTACTTTGACTACTTGTAGAAAGCGCATATATTTTAGAACATACATAAGACTTGTTTTTCTCATTAAACTGACATTAAAAACAAGATTGTCTCAAAAATATCACAGGAAATGAATGTTAGACTTTAATTTTATTTCAAAAAACTTTTAAGTGCCTGAATATATTAGCGACAACCTTCAACGTGTATATTTTATGTTTGTAAACTGATAAGAAATATACACATGAATTTACATACTAGGAAGTTTTAGAGTTTCAGACTTTTGTTTCATCCTTCCTATATTTCTCCATTTCTGTTTTCTTTAATATTACCTACTTGTGCAATAAGAACAAGTATGTTTGCTCTAATATAAGACAACTCGCATTAAAAGTGCAAAACAAAAGCACACAGGTGAATAAACACACACATGTAAACTCACAAATAAAGGATGTAATGGAGACGAGAGCACCATACATCAAGGGAAATCATCCTACTGCATCTCTGGTGTGGAATGAAATGGACTCCCAATGAATCTTCCCAATGTATGTCGGGGACAAAATGTCAGACTGACTGCCATGGTTTATACCAACACGTCATGACCCATGTAAGGGTGGAGACACATTTGGAGTCATCTGTTTTTCACCTCTAATTTTAATTGGCTGTTCCCTCAGGCTGCTCTTTGTTAATATGGATAAAAGTTTTTTTCGCTCATCTTCTTAAGAAATTACCTATCTGGGGCCCGGCGCGGTGGCGCAAGTGGTTAAGTCCTCGCCTTGCACGCCCGGGATCCCATATGGGCGCCGGTTCTAATCCCAGCAGCCCCGCTTCCCTTCCAGCTCCCTGCCTGTGGCCTGGGAAAGCAGTCGAGGACGGCCCAAAGCTTTGGGACCCTGCACACGCCTGCACACGCGTGGGAGACCCGGAAGAGGCTCCTGGCTTCGGGTCGGCATAGTATCGGCCGTTGCGGCTCACTTGGGGAGTGAATCATCGGACGGAAGATCTTCCTCTCTGTCTCTCCTCTCTGTATATCTGCCTTTCCAATAAAAAATAATAAAAATAAATCTTTAAAAAAAAAAAAAGAAATTACCTATCTGTCAGTCTGGTACCCAAATGCCAACAGCAGTCAGAACTGGACCAGGTCCAATTTAAAAGTCATGGTGGAAACTGGGGTTGAAGTCATGGTTGTTAGGGACCCAAGCAAAGAAGCCCTTGTTTGCTGCCCTCAGGGTAAGCACCAGCAAGAGACTAGATCTGAAGCTGAGACTGAACTGGATCTCAAGCAACATACGGGTGGAGCAGCTGTACCATAAAGCCTAGCCTTCCAAAATGTTTAAAGAAAATAAATTCCGCATTTAGAATATGTGTGGGTGCTTTGCAAAATCAAATGAACAGCTGAGTGGTTCCAGATGAATACTTACATACTTCCGTGGCTCTAACACTGAGGTTGTACCAAGCATTGGTCTCCCGGTCAAGGGTGTTAGTTGTGATAATTGTGCCATTGTTATCAATGCTGAACATTTTGCTTCTGACAATTGAATACCTGCCCAAAAAGGGAGAAAAAAAAACTGGAATGTATTGTTTTCTTGTATAAACTAATGCATAACACTCCTTTTAGACATAAGCACAAATTATTAAATTCTCATTTCATATAATGTAATCCTGAAGAAAATTCCAAATAGTACATTCATACACTTAAGATTTAACTCAATAGAGACTGAAGGAAAAAAAGAAACAATAATGTTTTTTGATTTAATTTGATATGCACTAAATTTAAAAGGTGATGGATTTGGTTAAAGGCTAATGGGTGAACATATTTTCGTTTTAAATTTAATGGTACAATTCCATAGTTTCTGGGATTTCCCTATCCCACCCCCAAATTCCCACCCTCCATCTGATTTGCCCCATATTATTACAACAGTATAGTCCTCCATAAGCAGTCAGAATTTCATCAGTCTGTTATTTGCGTGTGTCCCGACGTTGCTGGTACAGACAATGTCAGACAGGTCAGCATCGCATTGTCTAGATACGTCCAACGGTTTCGTTAGCTCCTACTAATCCAGATCTCCAGTGTGTGAGACATCACTACTGCCCCCCAGGAGGCACCTTACCAGGAAGCTGCACAGAAAACAGAAACTCAGGGATCCCCATTAGGGACCACTGGCTGCTTCCCAGACACCCGGCTCTAATTTCTTTCGGACAACACATATATTGCTAACTAATCTATGTGGTATATTGCACACCCTTGACTGCTGCTGCATAAGAAATGTTTGCTTTCCTTCACACGATAGAACAGTTTGATAATATTTGAATCAACTCTTGGCTTTGGCTTGATTTAGCTTAGTTTGTTGTAGGAATTTTGAGTGTGAATCAGAGTATAGATGGATTTTTGTGATAAGAAATATATATATATATAATTTCTATCTGATAAATATCAGATAAATATGCAGATTAAAAGTAAAATCATCATGAATCACAAGGACTTTAAAATGTCAAGATACTTGCAATATGAAATCTTACATACAAAAGATGCATACAATATTATGATTTAAGCTATTTTATATAAATTACATGGATGTATATTTCAGAATTCAGAAAAATCGCAAATCAACTGGGCTTTATTTTGAAATTTAGAAATTAGGAAGAAGAGCAAGGCCACAACAAAAAGGTCTGAGTCACCAAAGTAAAAGGTGGAAGATCTAATGTGCTATTAAATCATGTCATTCTGGCAGCCAGGTTTCAAACTCCCTGCTGCAAAATTCTGAAGAATGATCCCAGGTTGCACAATGGAAAAAAGTCCTGGAAGCACTCTACATGTTATGACAGCATGCGAATGATTCATAATAAGAATGAGAGAATAGTAATACCCAGAGTTCGGTAATGGCTTACCACTGCACATATATTCCATAAGACTTGCATGAAACATTAGTGAGATTTGACATAATTGCATGACAAATGTGAAATTATTTTAATACTGAATTGACATGTTTCTAAAGACACCTCATAAATTTGTAGCTTGACATTCATGGGAAGGTTAAAATAGCAAAAGGAAAAATCAGGTTTAGAAGGAGTCCAATGATAATTGCATCCAACTTTAAACATTACAAAGTATTTTACTTGGTATCAAATGAGTTTCTCAATGAATACATTTGCTGGAAAAATTAAACAATATTTTAATAGACTATTTTGAATTCAATGTGTAATCCTGTTTCTTTAAAATATTTTTCCAACTAAAATCCATCTAAACATTGATAAGAAATTACAGTTTCTAATATATTAACATGTTTCTGCCACAAGTTAATAATAAAAGCTAAAGGTGCAAAATAGATCAAAATCTCCCTGGAAAATCAGAACATGGTGTAGGTGTCTGAAATGACGGTCTTGATTGTGCCCAAGACGCCTTTGTTGAAGCCCGCACTCCAGCCATTTAGTGCCAATACGTGAGTCCACTTGTGATTCCATCTTGTTGCTACTGCACATCCCCGGGGGTGGTGTCCAGTATCAAAGTGGCTGGATTTGATTCGGGTTTTTAAGTCCCAGTCACAGTTTCCCATCAGTGGGTGTTCTTAGAAGCAGCAAGTGATTGCTTCTGGACTCCTAACACTAAGAAGGGAAGACTGATGGAGTTCTCCCAGAGGGCCTGGTCCTGCCCTAACCATTAGAGGGTATTGGAAGAGGAACTAGCTGATGGAAGCACTCTCTCTCTCTCTTTCCCTCTTTCTCTCTCTTGTTCACTCTGACACTATCCTTGCTAAAAAGTACAGTTTTTTTTTAAGATTTATTTATGTTTATTGGAAAGGCAGATATACAGAAGAAGAGAGACAGAGAGGAAATTTGATGATGATTCACACCCCAAGCGGCTGCAATGGCTGGAGCTGAGCTAATCCAAAGCCAGGAGCCAGGAGCTCTTCCTCTAGGTCTCCCACGTGGGTGCAGGGTCCCAAGGCTTTGGGACATCCTGGACTGCTTTCCCAGACCACAAGCAGGGAGCTGGATGGGAAGCAGGGCTGTCAGGATTAGAACCAGCGCCTATATGGGATCCTGGTGCTTGCAAAGCGAGGACTTTAACCGCCACACTGTCGTGCTGGACCCAAAGTATAGGTTTGTTAAACCACGTTTTTTAAGAAAGGCAAGCTAAATTTAAAACTGTTGGCAAAAATCACATCTGTTCTGAACCAGCTGTTTTTTTTTCTTGCAGCTGTTTTCTATATAATTCAGTGTAGTAACTACAGTATTCATTTGGTACCACACATTATAAATAAGTGTGAGACTATTTGGTGTATTTGGGGAAGATTTCCCTAGATGTTACATCTGAATGCTGTGACATTCTGCTCATGGGACTGGACACGTACTATTTGGTGCTTGATATATCCCCCACCATTCTGTCTGAAACAAAAGGACAAGCATTTTAAGAATTTGTTGGGGTAGAATTATGTCTCCATCTCATATGTCTGTATGTGGGCTTTCAAATCAGTATAACCATGTTCACCTTCTAGGTCTGTTTCAGGAAAACATTGAAATTGAGCAGATTTGTTCTCTCAGAACTTTGGAGCCTTGAGTCCAAAGTCAAGGTGTCAGCAGACAGCTCTTGCTACCTGTAAATCTCAAGAATCCTCTGTGGCAGTTCCCAACCACCATTGCCTCCTGTCCATCAGTACAATTATTCTGATTTATGAATGCATCACTCTAATCCCTGCTTCTATTTCCTCCATGTGATCTTTTGCCAATGTGTCTTCTCTTTTCATTCTTACAAGAACATGGGGCATCTTGTGTTAAAGGCTCCTCAGATCCAGTAGGACTTTATTTTAGCTAGTCCCCTTGAATAATTCTAATCCTGTATTACACTTTGAGGTATAAGAAGTTAAGGCTTGCTGCATATTCATGGAGAAACAATGTAATTCATAACACTATGCTATCAGTTTTCTCAAGTGAATGTGCTGGAATGAAATAGCTAGGTCCTATGCTAAGGACTTGTAGTTACCACTATCATGACTAAGAACCATACATAGATGTTAAAATGCAGCATGCTATGAATGGAAGTTACAATGCAAAGGTCGAAGCATTCCTCATGTCAAACCCCCCCACCCCCAGAGTTTTTGGTTCAAACATTGCTGCTGCTGAAGAGCAAAGCCAGTCTTCGAGCCAGTGCATAGAGATCTAGGCAATTCTGAATTGTAGGTGAAGGGAATTAGTAAGCAAGGGATGGTGATGCAGAAAAATATGGGGCACTTTTGTTTATCCACCAGATTACAACTCAAATATTCTAAGAATGTATTAACGCAAAAAAAAAAAAAAAACTTTCTAACCACATTGAAGAAATTTATCTATTTATAATTCAAAAATTTACTTCTAACTTACATCAGTTTTGCTTTTCCAAATCATTGCCTGTAAGTACTAAGGTGCCCATATTTTACTCAGCTTTCTTTCAGCAATGATGTGAGGTTACAACGGGGCATCTCAAGTTCCCTCACCTTTTTAGTCTCAGTGTTAGGCAATTTCCTGTTTCTGGCACGTGCTTGTCATCATCTACTCTACTGCATCTTAGCAGACATGAAGTCTAACCAGCACTGTTTCCTTATTTGACCTGTTGAAGTTGTTAAACCACCCCTGAAGAACACAGGTGCAGGTGCATCATTGCTGAATAGCACATGGTACTTTATCCTAAGCTAATTCATACTCACGTACTTTTCATTCAGACCTGACATTCAGGGCTCACCTGATAGGCGATTTTGTGTGATCTGGGTCTGTGGCAGACACGACGCCTACAATTGACACCTGTGGATTTCCTTCAGCAATTTGGAAAATGTAGTAAGGGAGCAGGAAAACAGGAGGTTCGTCTTCGTCTTCCACCTGCACCTTAATGAAAGTGGTTGAAGCTTCGGTGTGATATTGCATGAGGTGCTCTTCCACGTGGCGATTCCTGACTTTGGCTCTGATGCCATAGTGGTTCTGGCGCTCAAAATCTACTTTCTACAAAGAGGCAGAGTACACATGTCGTAAGTGCCTTCAGCAACTTGGGATATGAGTCCAGAACAGTTTCCTTGTTAAACGGCCAGTTGCTTTTCACTTAAATTTTAGGTGGTTCAACCTGACTTTGTGGTTAAGCAGACCTCCCAAACCATTTGTATTTTGTTATTTACATCTATTACAAAATGTTTATGGTCGCAATTATATGTTTATGTTTACAAATAATCTATATAATTGAGAACTAACCTCCAGGTTCTTCAGATTTTTTCCAATAATATGTCCTTTATTTAAAAATATCTCACTCTCTCTATATTTCCCAAAGCTGTGTAAGCTCTACAGGGATAGATATAATAATTAGTTTGTTCAACGCTAAACTCCTTGTTTCTCTAAAATAGACATCATAAATTCTGTTTGATTACCTAACAAAGCAGCAACTAGCCAGCTATACCTAACAATTTCATTGTGTTGCATGAATTCATAAAGCATTGGTATTTATGTATCTACCTTTTTCAGTATAACTATTCCTTCTTGGGTCTCATTATCAGTGACTATGTCAAATGTCTGAGAGCCATCCTCTTCAATGCTGTAATCCATTTCTGCATTTTCTCCTATGTCATTATCATGTGCCATGATTTTTCCTATAGAAGTCCCAGTGGATGCAAATTCAGAAACTGTCATGCGGTAAAAACCTATGAAAAGAAAATTTGAATTGTTTCGGGTAAATATTTTGTGTCATAAACTTCTGGTAAGAACAACCATTTTTATAGTATAAGAAAACCCATACTTTTTCTCATTACATTTACTAACTCTTAGTCCATCACTATCTAGTATACCTTCTTTTTTTAATTTGGGTATTTGAGAATATATTATTGTTTCTGAAATTTCTTAGTTAAATGAACAGTAAATATTTCAAAATCTTATTTCACAGACAACCTTTTGCCTTTCTAAGATTAATTAAGTAATTTGCTAGTCAGAAAGGAGAAGAGAGCGCTTCCATCTTATGCTTTTTTCTTCCCCTGCCACACCAGCATGCTTTTTTCTTCACACCAGCCATGGCTTAACCAGTCTAACCCAGGATTCAGCATCTTTAGCCAGGTTTTCCTCTCAGGTGCCCACGTTTTCCCAAGATTCTGCTTTCGGACCCATTCAGGATTCATACCCAGACTCTCCAAGATAAGGTGTGGACACTGAAAACAAATATATTAACTGCTATCCTGAGCTCCTGCCCCCAGAATATTTATTTATGAATATTCTTGGAAGTACACAGCAGATGACTGGCAGATCAAATTTCAATTTTCTTGTTATTGTTAATGATATATTGCTTAAAACCTGCTATTATTTTACTGCTTCATCCTTTGGGATGGTGTTGACCATTTACATGACAAATGTGTTTTTTTTCATTTGGAAAATAAAAAAAATACTTATGTGATTGCATATATAAAAAGTTGTAAACCAGTTTTTTGTTTTGTTTTGTTTTGTTTTGTTTTTTTGTCAACAGCACAGTCAGCATCTAAAGAATCATGCTATGGGTGTGAGACTTAGCAGTCAAGACTATCTGTATCAACCAGACTCAAGACTGAGAATCAGGTATCAGAAACTCTTTTTATTCTAACATAAAATCTTACTTGAACGCACTAAGCGGAATTGTAGATAGAAAGATGATATTTCTTCTACAGAATTCAAAATTAGCCTATTTTCTATTTTTCTAATGAAAAATTCAGAGAAATAAATGATGAATCAACACCAATTTTTTTGCATACAAATTATATACTGAAGCCAAATTCTCTTTCCTCTTGTTTTTATGCTTTCAATTTCATCCTCTTTCCTTTTGATTGCTTGCTTTTGATCCTCCTTGCTTCTACCTTTGATTGAGGCCCACGTTTCTTGCAATGGTCAATTTTAAACCCAAGTTGATACAAGTTTTAAATCCATGGAAAAATGTCCAAATAGGAAATAAAATTAGAAACTGTCTCTTCTTTCCACAAGAAGGAGAATGAATAAAAACGAATATTTTAAGTGTTAGGCAGAGGGATCATCCCACATGAATAAGTTGTCTAAAGAATTCAGTTCCAGAAGGAATTCCTTTTTTTTTTTTTTTTTATCAGCTGAACCTGATAGAGGACGGTCTCCTGGATATTTCAATGTGCTCAGTGTAATCACTTGAGTTCCTGAAAATGGAAGAGGCAAAACTGTTTGTCAGAGAAATGTGAATTATTCAAGTATTTGTCATCCTTTGTTGCTTCTGAGGTTTAAGTGTATGCCAAAAACCAGTGAGACAGCCTTCCAGGAAATCGGTACCCTAGGTGAGCAAAGAACCAAAAATACTGACAGTCAAGTGAGTAAAGAAGGTGATCCTTCCGCTCAGCCATCATAAAGGAACAGTCTGGATACCTAGAAACGTACTCATAACCTATACCAGATTCCCTCAGGATAACAATCTTGTTTTAAAGTCAGAAATCTGAAGAACTTTATATATTGGAAGTACTAGAATACAAATGCAGTAGTCCTTAATTAATGCTTGCTTAGACATAGTAGTGAAAATGACATCTTAAAACAATTTACAAATGCAGTTCGGTGTAACTTTTGTGCAAGTACAGCACTTTCAGCACGCACTCTTCAGCATTTGCCTATATTCCATACACTCACATTTACACAGTCATGAGAAAGTAGTACTTACTTTCTTTAAATATAGGCTTGTTATCATTAATATCTTGAAGTTTAATTAATACACTTGTTGTTCCCGACAGTGCTCCCGGCTGACCAATCATATCTTTGGCTTGAATAATAACTTGATACTCATCTTGTAATTCTCTATCCATTTTAGAAGATATCCTTATAACTCCTTCAAAAATGTAACACAATTCCAATTATTATTTCAGTGATAATTGTGGCATATTTCTTGTCAATTTCTAAAACATTCCATTATACAATCATGACCTTGATATATGTTGAACTGCTACAATGTACATGACGCTGTCTTGGGGACAAAAATTACAATTAAGGGAACCGAAGGTCAATCAGAGTATCGACTGGTCACCACTGTGAAAGAAACACTAGAAGATGCTTAATAAAATATATTAACTAGAGTTTATTCAGTCTAAACAGTTCAACTCTTTTAATATTTATTTATAGTTATTGGAAAGGCAGACTTACACAGAGAAGGAGAGACAGAAAGATCTTCCATCTACTGGTTCACTACCTTGATGGCTGCAATAGCTGGAATTGAGCTGACCCAAAGTCAGGAACCAGGTCTCTCACCCGCATACAGGGGCCAAGACTTTGGGCCATCCTCTCTCCCAGGCCACAGACAGGGAGGTATAAGGGAAGTGGGACATTTGCAACAAGAAGCGGTGCCCATACGGGATCCAGTTGGTTACAAGGTGAAGATTCTGCCGCTGAGCCACTGTGCTGTGCTCAGAATATTTCAACTCCAAATACACAAAGACTTTATCATTGTTCTTTGTTTATAGTTTTCTTTGTTATTGCCATTCTTATTCTTTTAATTGTGGCAAGGTTACACTCCCACAAGCTCAGAATTTGTAAAATGTGGGGTACATATTCTGCCTTTCTCAATTGGAAGTAAGCAATGAAATTAAATCCAATGTAATAAAACATTCATTGCATGTAATAAAATAATTTATCTCCTATGAATCCTAAATAACATGTGCCACACCTTGTGAGAATAACAAAACAGTCATTCAAATGATATTCTCCAGAAATGAATTGCATTAAGAAATCTTCATTGAGCAAGTGTGAGATACTAAATATTTGCTAAGTGATGCATACTCAATAATTATTGAAAAATAAGAACACAGCCTAACTCTTTAAAAATAAAAGTTACCAAGCTGGAAATATTATTTATCCTTAAATACAACTACAGACCCTTATTTTTTTTATCTCATTATCATTTTTGGATGACTGGCTATTTATCTTTGGGAAATACCAGTTCCTAGGCTAAGATACATATGGAATTACTCCTTATTTTGAACACAACAATGGTTTCAAACAGACTCAGTAAGAATAATAAAGTGGAAATGTTTGAAAGAAAAAAAAAATGTCTCTTCATTATGTAATAATTAACATCAATTGGAAAAGCAATGACAAAAATAAATGTTTTAGTTTTTGAAATAAAGTTGAATTTTTGAAAGGTTAGTGGAACTGTATATTATGAAAATAATATTTTATTGCATAGCCAAATAAATCTGCATCTAAGCACCAGAGACAAAGAAAGGGAGAGAAACCACTTTGGTGGCTCACTCCGCAGACGACCCAAGTGAGGAGGGGTGAGTTAACTGAACCTGGAGTCAGGCTCTGAATCCCGCCTTACACCTTAATTCACATGGGTTGTTGGTACAGTTATTGGAGCCAATCTGGTACCACCTGGTATCTACTTAGTATAAATGGAATTGGCAGCCAAGCCCTGAACTGAAAGAAGGCATAGAAATATAGCACTAAGGCATGTTATAAATGAGTATCTCATGTTGATTCACACACACAAAACCTTATATTCTGAATTAAATCCAGGCATTCTATTTGGGCAAGAAAGTGACTCACGCTGTAGATTTAATTTCAAGTTAATATTTTAAGTACATATTTCCCTGATAACAATGATGTTGAGTATATTAAATATGCAAATAGATTTGGGGCATCTCTTTTATATTATGTATATCTTGTCCTACCTTTAATTGAGTTACCTTTTTCTTCATTAGCTTAAAAGAAACCCTACATGTATTTCATATTTCACACACAAGTCATTTTTAGCACATGTACTGAAACGTCAATATTTGAACCTTTGAAAAATCAGCCTAAAGCATAAAAGCAATTCAATGCTTATGCATAACAATCCACTTATTTATAACCACATCAGAATAATACTGAAATCTCTTTCTAAGCTGGTAGCATCCTGAACGGGGTCTGGCATAGTGGCATAGTAGGTAAAGCTGTGACTTACAATGCCGGGATCACATATGAATGCCAGTTCAAGGCCTGGCTGTTCCACTTATGGCTCCCTGCTAATTGCATGGGAAACTCAGCAGAAGGGCCCCTCCCAAACACAGAGGATACCCTGACCACTGGCTTTGGTTTGGCCCAGCCCAGGTCATTGCAGTCATCTAGCAAATGAACTAATAGATGAAGATCTCTCTCTCTCATTCTCACTCTTTCTCTCTCTATATATATGTACCTCTGAAACTCTAACCTTCAAATAAGGAATCATTAAAACACATAACCATTTTGCATGGCATTCTATTTTGCTCACAAATACCTGTTGTTGGTTCAACAGAAAAATATGGTTGGCCATGTAGTAAGCTGTATAGGAGGCGAGCGTTGTTGCCCGTTGAAGGATCGTCAGCATCACTTGCTGTAACCTGGATGACAAATGTTCCTGAGGAGAAAACAAATAGTAATGGAAAATTCAGGCTGTGATCTATTCAACAGTGAATTGTGTTCAGTAAAGCATTCCTTTAGCAGGTGTATGCTCATATCAACTTGAAGTCTACTTTACATCTTGCTGTGAACCGCAAAAGAACATAGATGTATATAAATAAAACACCAATTCCCATATGTGGAGTTTTACACATATTGGTTTACAACATTACAAGATAGAGCTTATTAAGCAGTTCATTAAGAAGTGCAGCCTACACATTTTCCAAAGTGCGCTTTAAGTGGAGCCATCAAACGAAAAGGAGAAACACGTTTCATCAAAGACAAATAGCCCTGGCTGGAGGTGCTGACAACTGGCTTCTGCAGGGCCCAGGCCTGGAGGTTTCGGTTATTTGGGGAGTGATTCATAGGTGCAAGATTCTCTCTCTCTCTCTCCCCTTCTTTCTCTGTGTACATGTGTGTGCTGCTCTTTCAAATGTGCGTACGTGTACATATGCATTATATATACATTATATATATATATACATATATGACATATATGTTTTTAAATAGACCTATTACATCTTAACAAAGTAATCATTCTAATTAAAATTAAATATTAAGTCACATATGCATTTAAACAAACGCTTTAATTTCTAAGGTATTTCTTTTAAAATATTCATTTTAAAAATTGGGTTCCTGAGGTCAATGCCATGGTTCAATTGGTTAATCCTTTATCTGCAAGCACCGGCATCTCAAATGGGCTCTGGTTCATGTCCTGGCTGCTCCATTTCCAGTCCAGCTCCCTGCTTAGGGCCTGGGAAGGCAGTGAAGGACGGCCCAAAGCCTTGAGATCCTCAAGGGATCTCATATGGGAGGCCTGGAGGAGGCTCCCGACTCTTGGTCTTGGACCAGCTTGGCTCCAGCCATTAGGAACATTTTGGGTGTGAACCAATCGATGGAAGATCTTTTTACTTTTTCTTTCCTTCTATAAATCTGCTTTTCCAATAAAAACAAATGAATATTTAAATTATGTTCTAGTATAAACAAAATTGTATTTGATGAATTACATCACAAATGGAATACATACTTTAAAAAATATATACACTGTGTCAATTCTAATGACAACCTGGGTGAGAGAAAATTAAATATTTTCTGTAGTTTTTTTTAAAGTAACATCAGAAAATTCCCCAACGAAAGTCCAGTTTAATAAACTGAAACACCCTGTTGAGAATCCCTTGTGTATTTTTGTGCTGTTATTTAACGCTTTTATTATCAGTTATCATATACTACTTAACTGGAATTCTTATTTAATGATCTTAATAGGAAATCCACTAACCTGATTAAAAACAAGGGCAATGAATTCATTGACAGAAAACTCCCTCTACCCCTTCTGGTGATTTTTGAATTTCTTAAAGTGTGGACAGCCACTAGTTCCAGGTGTTTTAAAATAAGCTGCTAGAACAGTTAGGAAGACTATCCAAATTCCTTATTGGGCTTTTCATTTCAATCACTGTTTATTGGGCACTACTTGTTCCTTTAATTAAATTTCCATTCATACACCTACTTAATTCTCTTTAATTTCCTAATTATGTCTCTATATTTTTTTATTTGCACAGGGATTTCCCATCCTTATTGAGTTTTCAGAACTGTAGTCCTCATGTGTAGTTTCAGGAAACTTTTTTTTTTAAGATTTATTCATTGTCATTGAAAAGGCAGATCCACAGAGAGGAAAGACAGAGAGAAAGATTTTCTATCTGCTGGTCCACTCCCAAAGTGGTCCCAATGCCCAGAATTGAACCCATTGAAGGCAGGAACCAGGAGCCTCCTCCAGGTATCTCACACAGGTGCAGAGTCCAAAGGCCTTGGGCTATGCTCTACTGCTTTTGCAGGCCACAATCAGGGAACTGAATGGAAATGGAGCAGCCAGGACAGGAACCAGCACCCATATGGGCTCCTGGCCAGTGCATGCAAGGGATCACATATGAGTTTAGCCACTAAGCAATCATGCCAATCCCTCAGGAACCTTTTTCAAAAGTCACAGAATTAGGGGGCAGGCATCATGTGCCAGGTGAGAGGTGTGGATCCAGTTATTGGTTTCTAGTTTGATGTGTCCTCAGCTCTGGATTTTGTGGATATTTCGGAGGTGAACTGGTTGTGGGAAGATTTTTCCCTGTCTCTGTTTCTATCACTTTGCCTCTCAAATGTGTAAAATAAATGAATCTCTTTCCAGAAAAAAAAAAAAAGAATAACATAACTCTGCCTGTTTTGATTTTTGTGGGTTTTATCATCAAACATTAATTTTACAGGAAATGAATGGTTTTCATCCAAATGTCAGGCTTAACATTAGTAACAGAATGTTATTAGATGTTGTTTTTCAGACAGAATGTTTCATCCTCCACCAGTTAATACGGGAATCCAAACATAAAAGAATGAGGAATTATTTATGCAGACGAATTCATATACCATTGTACAATAGAAAAGCAAACAAACTTGGGAAAGGGCATGTCAAGATAAAAGCTTGCATTAACTAGTGACCTCTATACGCATATGTCACTTTTGATAAAAATTATATTTATTAAGTATTGAGTTGCATAATGATCAATGTCACATAAGCACAGGTAAAATTGTGTTTATTTTCAACAACATGCTAAACTTAATAAACACAAGCATATATGAAGTAAATTAGGGATCGGATTATTGATTTAACGATGGAAATAATGGATTTCCAGTGTTTCACAGTAACTCACTAGTGTGAGGATTAGGTCTTCTTAGGAAGAGTTTAGATATTTATAATTGAAAGGCAATTACTTTGTAAACCAGGCTTGCTGCAAAATTTAGGAAACATGATAGCTTTCCCACATGCTAAATCATTGTGAAAAATACTCTTCAAATGTTTTGTGTTTCAGTGTTCAATCAACTGACAAGTAGCTTATTCCTTTTTGTTTCTTGCACTTGATACCCCTGTTCTTCATACCCTGGACAGGATTTATGTTAAAGAAACTAAATAAGAAATCTATCCCAGTCTTTATTTTCTGTTCTTTGTCCAAATGCAAAGTATCTATATACTCTAAAATAACAAAATATCAACATCATCATGCTTTATCTTAAATTTCAGTTTTATTTTTCTGATAACTCTGCATTATGTTATATTTATTCTACATAGCAAAGATAATAAAATAAATTTCCAATATGCTCTTTCAAAAATGATAAAACAGGCAGTTTAAAATTTTTATATTAATAACAAAATTTGGTAATTTTGTATAGGTAATGTTGTCATGTAAAGGAAGTCTTACTCATAAATTAAATCACTCCCTTACTTTCAAAAACATCTGATTTTTATTTAAAAAAAGTCTAACATAAGTATAAAGAATATTGTGTCCTTGCTAATGTTAAAAATTTGTTCTGAAAAACTTAAAAATATTTTGTAAGAAGTCAAAGAGCAGAAATAAATAAAATATTCTCTTTGTAATATATCATTTTTGTTTTTATGCATACAAAAATCATAAAATATTCTAAATATTTTACATATACACATGCACATGTATGTGTAATAATATTAACATTAATAAAAAAATCAAAATGTAGAGATCTTAAAATCTACTTATTACTATTTTATATTCAGTGTGGTGCAACCTGTTGAATCATCATAATTGATTTTAGCAAGATTCTTTGTTTTTTAAGAACATAAATTTTCTGGGCCAGGCACAATACTCTAGTATTTAAAGTCCTTGCCTTGCATGAGCCAAGATTGCGTATAGGCACTGGTTTGTATCCCAGCTCCACTTCCCATCCAGCTCCCTGCTTATGGCCTAGAAAACCAGCTGAGGATAGTCCAAAGCCTTGGGACCATGCACCCACGTGAAAGGCCTGGAAGAAGCTCCTGCCTTTGGATCAGTTCAGCTCTAGTCTTTGTAGCCATTTTTGGGGAGTGATCCAGTGGATGGAAGATGTTTATCTCCTTTTTTCTGTAAATCTGATTTTCCAATAAATAAATAAATAAATAAACAAACAAATAAGCCTTACAAATTTTTTCTAACTTGACTTTTTAAGGTTTGTTTATTTTTGTTGGAAAGAGAGATCAGAATTATGGAGAGAAGGAAAGACGAAGAGAAAGATCTTCCATCTGCTGTCTAACTCCCCAGGTGGCCCTAATCGTGGTTGCAACGTGAGGATTTAGCCATTGATCCATTGCACTGGAAACGTAATTTCACTTTCTGAGTTCACATAACACCTATGATTGGCAAAATCCACTATGGAAAGTTTAACTGCTTATTTAATTGCTTAGTTGCTTGTTAAACTGCAAATTGAATGTTTTAAAGTATCCTTCTCTGTGGCATGCTAACATTTAAGGCAAAAGCTAGCAACAATTATTGAAAGAGAGAACTATCTTTTTTGATAGGCTCTTATATCAATATGATTGAAGGGACATGAACATAAATATGAAGGATTTGGGGGTGGTGCACCTGGAAACTGGAATCCCATGCCAGAGCGTCAGCTACAGTCCTGGTCACTACATTTCCATTCCAGCTTCTGGGAGGTGTGCCTGCAATTCAGCAAATGATTGGCCAAGTACCTGGGTTCCAATAACCTTTGTAGGCAAGTCTGATGCCCTATGTGGCTCCAAGTTGACTTTTCCAGCTTTAGAGAATAAAGTGGTGGACCAGCTGCATCTCCCACCTCTCTCTCCTACTCTCTTCACCCTTCTGGTTCTTAAACCAATCAGTCTTTCTAAAATTGGACTTAGATGAAGGGACATTTGGTATAGGGTTGATTAAACTTCAGTTAGGATCCACATTCCATGACACAATTCTTGGTTTCATGTTTTGGCACTGACCCCCAACTCCAGCTTTCTGTTAATGAGAACACTGGAATGAACAGAGAGTCAAGTACTTGGGCCTTATAATCAAGATGCAGAAACCGAATTTGGCTCCCAGGATCTTGGCTTCCACATGGCCAAGTCTGGTTGCTGCAGGCAACTGGATCTCAGTGAGATAGAAAGTGTTAGATGTGTCCTCACCGTCTCTCCCTGTCTCTCTGCCATAAAAAAAAAAAACTGTATAAATCAATAAATTGACCACAATTTATTCACTGGAAATTCAAAACAATGACTTATAATTTCGTAGAGCATTTTGTGTCACTATGACTTTAACTATTGTCAATCAATGCAGTACTAGCAATACTCATCATTTTGGTGAGGAAATCTTTCTCTAGATGGTGATGCATGGCTTACAGATCAGGCATACTTCTGTCAAATATGCATTTGTTTTTAAGATTAGCTACTTTTGTTTAGGTATTACAATTAAAAGTTTCACACTAACAATTTATTTCTTTGTCTATCTTCATTTTCATAGCAAGATTCCAAGTATGGAGGAAGTCCATCACGACACTGTTAATGGACAAGAGAAGGAAAGAGTGGAGAAAAAGTAGAAGAGACCAAAAGGAAGACAATGGGGAGTAACTATGAGGACAGGGGAAGAAAAGGGAACAGAAAAGGACAGAGAAGGGGGAAAGAGCTTAATTTTTGCCCAACTACCAAAGCAAAATAATTGTAATGCATTATTTACATTAAAAGATAATGTATTTTGCTACAATCCATGATGTAGAATGATATCTTTAAACTTTTATTGGAGTGTAAAAAAAATAAGAATTGGGAAAATATAATATGGAATACACATGGTTACCTTTAATGAAGCAAATATTGAGTAGAAACTTTTTCGTGCCATATTAGCATACTTATGAATGTCTATTAAGGAATCTCTTTTTCATGGTAAAGCAAATTTTGAAATGTTATATTTTACCCTGTATTTTATTACGTAGAACTCTTGAGGACAAATTTGGCATTACCATAGCTTCCCTTATATTGCAAAGACATTTCTGATTCCCGAGACGGCCAATCCTCGTACTTTATGGGAATCATCCTATTTCTGTATGTATTATATTTACAATAGTAACACGGATACTGAGTTTTTAAAGGGGATCTAGCATGAACACAACTGCATAAAGGTGCCCAATCACTACTTTACTTTGGGTCTTTATAGTGTGATCTTGACACAAATAGGTTTGAATCTTCCTATTTCCATACCCATATAGTGCAGATCCATATTTTTTTGAGATAAAATAGTATTTTTAAAAATACGATTTTATATTTAAGAAATTAGGTCATTAAGAAGAGTTTTATGAATCTCCCATAACCGTGACTAATGCATCATTATTCTTTTTTAAAAAAGTGACTATATATTAAAAAGTTTAATGTATAGTAACAGCAGCAAAAATGTGGAAAACATTTTTGATTCCACCATATGCATCTTCTGTGATCCTTTGTGGTGTGCTGTCTTTTGTGATGATGAAAACACCTGGGCAGGCACAAAAGAGATTGGTACTGTCCTGTGGTTTTCTGTAGGAAAAGGGTACGGAGGGTGGTGCAGGTGGATAAGCCAGTTGTTGTCGTATTTTAGAGAACTGTGGTTACATTTATTCTTCAAAAAATAGATAGAATAATGTTATTTAAGGAAGTGGGATTTGTGACTGTGAAGTTGGGGACCACCCATGCAACTTAAATGTGTTCTGGTTATGGATCAATTAATTTCGCTCTCTTCAAATAACAAGTCTTCAAAGCTTGTCTGCAATGAACATGAACCAGCAAAAGAATGGGGCAAGCAAAACATTTTGAAACTAAAAAAAAAAAGAAAAAAAAAGAGAGAAGCTTAGAGTAGCTATTACTCTCTATATAACTAGTACTGACTATTTGAATAACGTTACTTTCGTTTCCTTAAATTGTCATTGCAAAATGGAGTACTCGTATACAGTTTAATCAATGCACTTCTAAAACGTGCTCAAAATCTTAAGTCTATTTTTGGTAATATATCTTTCATGAAAATGTATTTGCAATACCTTCTGGAGACATCTCTGGAACACTGGCCTCATAAGGTTCCTGCAGAAATTGTGGCTTATTGTCATTGACATCCGACACTCTGATGACAAACTCAGACTCAGGCTCCACAGCCTTCCCAGTGGTGGTGTCGATTACCTGGGCTCTTAGGATGTAGAGGGACTGTTGCTCTCTGTCGAGCTTCTTTATGGCATGGATATCACCCGTTTTTTCATCAATGGTAAAGATATCTCCAGCTCCAGCTCCCAAGAGTTTGTACTGGAAAGAATTGTTTCCATTGTCTAAATCAGATCTTAGCTGCAAGTGTAAAAAAAAATAATTCACTTTTCAGACATGTTCAAATGGAAAAAATCAAGCTTTTCTTTTTAAGATTTACTATATTCCTTTGAAAATCCCAGTTACAGAAAAGGAGGGAGAAACAGAAGTCCTCCATTTTGTGTTTCACTTCCCAAGTGACCACAAAGGCTGTGGCTGGCACAGGCCAAAGCCACGAGCCAGCAGCTTCTTCCAGCTCTCCCACGTGAGGTCAGGGCGCAAGCAGTTGGGCCATCTTTGACTGTTTTCCCAGTCACAGTAACAGAGAGGTAGATAACAAGTGGAGTCTTTCAGAACTGGAACTGGAATCAACATGGGATACCAGTAGATACCAGTACTGCTGACAGCATCTACACCCAGTACATACAGTGTGGACCCCGGGAGCAAATCAATCATATTATTTTCATGTGTGTCAATCAATATCAAAGTATATCATTGTTTCATATTTCATTATTATATTAAGTAAATATTGACTTCAAAAAAAATTTCTACATAGGAAACCATATAAATGTATTATTTTAAATAGGTGACTCCAGTAATAATCTGTAATAATATACAAAGGCCTGGAATCACACACAATAAAATGGATTACATTTTATTTCGTACATAAATTCTTACTCTATAACGATACTCTCCAATTTTAATATATTCAAATTTAAAAAGAGGCCAAAAATAACAAAAACATTTAAAAACTAAAGCCTTTTGCTTGGATGTACATGTGAGCAGACCAGGGAAATATTAGAAAGAAAATTAAGGAGCATAATGAGGAAATAATAATAATTCAACCAACCCCTGAGGATTTGTTGACTGCCATAACATGTACAAAATATTTTCAACATTTACAAAAGGTTTTCAAGTCCTTGGGACCCTGCACAATCGTGGCCCTGGAAGAAACTTCCGGCTTCAGAGCAGCTCAGCTCCAGCCATTGTGGTCATTGGTAAAACAAGCCAACAGATAGAAGATCTGTCTCTGTTGTTCTTTCTCTTTTAGATAAATAAACAAATAAGTAAATAATCTTCTTAAATATGATGTTGATAATAAAATATGATTCCCCAAATGATTTTTGTTTATATTTTAAAGTATTAATGTATATTTTCAAAAATAATTTTAAGATTATTTCTTTACTGATTAATAGATGTTTTCATGTAACAAAGAAGAAAAATATATACTACAGTTCATTTAGTATTTTATTTAGGTTGAATACCTGTGCCCTGACAAAACAGCAACAAAAAAGAGACAGAAAAGTAACATCCAATTGACTCTTCTGGTTGTAGATCCTGTAACATGATCAGCCGTAAATCTCAACATGTAGAAGGAGTGTTGGATGGGGTGGAAATCATTGACAGCGTTGACAGTGAGTGCAGCAGATACACAGTTACTTGGGATGTTCACCTCCTTTACGTTCGTGCTGTGAGCACCAGCTCCTCTGCTTCCTGTCCATCATCCTGCCACTGCTCAGTCTCACAGAGTTAATGCTGGTTCTCTTACTTAGGTCCCTGACATTCGCTTGGAAAATCAAAAGGAGTTTCAAGCTGTTAGTTGAACCAGACCTAACCCCATCTACTGTTGACATCTGGAGAGAGAGAACTACTGGCTGACATCTCTGACTCTATGGGTCCCTGTCTCTCTGTCACTCTTCCTTCAAAATAAGAATGGATATAAACATGATTTAAATTAACAAAAGTAATACATTAGTCAAAACCAAAATATATTCCAACCAATGTTTTAAATAAGCAATTCAGGTTGCATATGTTAAATAATGTAATGTCAATATAGTTTTAGGATTGACCCAGCTTTGGGATGAAGAAAAGAAGTTTGTTGAGGAATAAATTTACTGAGAAGTAAATATTACATCAGCAGGAATACATATCCTCAGCACCCACAGATATTTGAAATCTATTTGTCTAAGATCCTATTCCAGGCCTCGGTGGAATATACTCATTTATATTTTCTAATATGTGTGTGTGTGGGGGGTGAACATTTATGGCAACCAGATACCATGTTAGTGAGCTGCTGCTCTCTTGAAAAGAAGAGAAAAAGAGAGTTAATGAATTTTGAGTGCTTCACCCTTTGGGCCCAATTAAATTTTAGTGCCAGTTAATTAGTGGCTAAACTTACTTCAGTCCATTTATCTAAAGAAAGAGCATTAAGATTAAGAAACACTTTTGTAATTACCTCTGTTTAAGAAAAAACAAACAGTAAACCATCGAAACACAAATAGGTGTTCTAATTCATTAAGGTGATTTTACTTAAATATGCCCTTCTAAGAGAGTGAAAGTAACAATTCTTTGCAGTTCAATGACACGAATCAAAAGAAGTGAGTAGGCTACTAAAGTCACCTCATTGTAAAAGGTTATGGTCTTATTAATCTGCCTCATTAAAAATCAATCAGGTAAATCCACAGTGGATGAGTACAACAGAAACTCAAACTGAATACTTTGGGTCAATAATATTTATGTTACTGTAGGTTCTTGAATCCTTTACACAGAATATGATCATCAAATTTCCAGAGGTTGGCAAGTGAGGGCTGCATTTTCACAAGGCAGAAAAAAGTGCAGTCCATGGCTTTTCCTTTTCTGCAAATGTTAGTGACTGCTGCAGACACTTGCAAATCTGAAATCACTGCTAATGGTTGTTTCCAAAATCTTCTAGAAACTTCTCTGAGAAAACGGATGTCATCAAATACTAAAATGGTTTTAACTCATACTTACATGTTGTTCAAACTTCTTTGTGCAATAACATTTGAAATAAATACCTGGCCAACAAGATGACTAGTGTTCATTTCCTCTGGGACAAAAAATTGGTTCCACACCCAGCCACGTTTCACTCTTGAAGGAGTTCCCATTGCATGTTTCACCTTCTCCAGTTCAGGGGTTTCCAGCGCTGTAAGGTAAGTCCAGAGCAGAGGAATCGCCAGGACGAACTGCATCACCAAGCCACCGCTCATTACGATGTGTCTTGATTCTAGTCTTCACAGGAAAAGGGGTGTTGCAAAGACAATCTTGTGTTTCTTTATAATCTGTTTACTTGTTAAGTATCTTTTGTACTCCTAAAGCATAAAATACAAAACAAAATTTGAGACCTTCAGAATAACATTTTCTCACAAAAGTGCTTAAGACATTGGGCAACTTCTTGCATAGGGTAAAAAATGTAACAAAATATGCATTACATTTTTCAAAGATTTACTTATTTTTATTGTAAAGGCAGATATACAGAGAGGAGGAGAGACAGAGAGGAAGATCTTCCTTCTGACGTTTCACTCCCCAGATGGCTGCAATAGTTGGAGCTGAGTTGATCCAAAACCAGAAGCCAGGAGGTTCTTCCAGGCCTCCCATGTGGGTGCAGGGGTCCCAAGGCTTTGGGCCATCCTCTACTGCTTTCCGAGGCCACGTGCAGGGATCCAAATGGGAAATGGGACTGCCAGGATAAGAATGGGCGTCCGTATGGGATCCTGTCATATGCAAGGTGAGGACTTCAGTCACTAAGCTACCACACAGGGCCCGTGGATTTAATTTCTTACATTTAAACTTGTTAATTATATTTTGTAGCTCAGCAATAAATTGGTAGAGACAATAATAAATCTCCATCCGGGCGCTGTTTGTTTTAAACAGTAGTCGTAAATCTGACTAGAAGTTGAAAAGCTGCTCTAGCAATCTGTCTGATTGGCAGCTGATACTGACACTCCGTGCTTTTGCTAGACATTTTACTTGGGTACTTATTCCTTTCCAGTTCTGCAAAACTCAAATCATGTCGATCAAGCAACAGCCACATCAGGGGAACATTAAAATCACTAGCAAGAGCCATACGCTTTTCAGTTCACTTTCCCAAATTGTGATGTTTCATGAAGTTAATTATAGATAAAATGACAACTCATATTAAAACTGGAGGATTTAATAAACTATTATACTGATGTTATAAAATATTCTGACTAGAAAGCCAGTGCAAGGTATATACCCTTTAAGACGTGAAAGATATGGGAAAAGCACACTTTTCATCTTAGTAAGGACATAAGGCCATTTTTAGACAATAAACACAAAATTATACTGCCTAGAGAAAAAGCTGAATTTTTAACAATATTCAAAATGACATCAAAATATCTTTTAATACTAAATACTAGAGCAAGTTGGAAACATCCATTTTCCTGGAGCTGATGTTGTGCAGCTTACAGATGCTCTCTTTCATGATAGGTATTTCTCATTCCAGTATGTAAATCAATAACTTTATGTTGCTCACTTATGTATAACTCTTTCCTAATACCCTAATAGGTTTACTTATTTGATACTCATGGAGAAAAATAACGTTTTAAAGCCCCAAATGAAGTTTAATCTCATCTAATCAACAGAGATGCCATTGAGAACAATATTGGGAGATGTTCTAAGTAATTTGGTTTTAAATATTCTGCTTGTATTTTTAACAGCCCCTGAGATACTTTTAGGTCTTTGGTTCTTGTTGAAAAGGGTTGTTAACAACACATTGTTAATCAGAACATGGGGATCAGTGGTCCCCATGGATTACCTTCAAACAGCTGTGCTCTCGGTTCTACACCTACTGAATGATGGTCATGGAAGAAGTTAACCAGTATGAAGATTAAAAATGGAATTTCATCCTTTGAATATTCGAAAATCAAATATATGTTGTATAGAAGCTGCTAAAAACATGGTTAATGACTGGTGAAATTTCTCCTAAGGAAATTTAATTTTCTTTATGAGAAAGATACATTTTATATACTTAAAATATTGTCACCAATACAGTTATGAAAGTACACTCAGTATAACTGAGAAAAATTGTAAGCTTAATGATGTTTTGATTCAGTAAAATACAGCAAATAATAGAATAAATGCATACATATATGACATTACCCAGCATCAACATGTTTAATCTCATATTAGTCTTGTGTAATCTGTAGACATACCCACACATTACACTAAAATAGATTTTCAAAAGCAACTTAACTTTAACAACTCTGCACACACATATAATTACAAAACATATATGCATGTTTGTATATTCCCCTGTAAATTCAATAGCTTATAGCCAAGAACGAGTCTCTTACACAAAATGTTCATTCTGTCTTCCCATTAAAGCTCTCTAAGCATCTCTATTACAAGACTGACATGTGTTAACATACCTCTGAATCATGACAGAAATGTGTCCACACCATAGTGGGTTTTTTTTGACATTTTTTTAAGCTCATGTATTTTGTTGGTCTTTTCACTTTTCGTACATTTATGTGTTGGGCAAATCAAGTCAGTTTTCCATATTCTGGATTTCTTCTGAACCCATGTGGTACGATTTCACATTTTACCCTATATACACTGTTTACGACATGCACATCCCTGTCCCCACTGGAGTACCCGGAGGGGTACCTAGCTTCTGCTCCTCATCCGACTCTCTTCTTTTGTGGACTCTGGGACTGAAGCAGTTGTATTCACGCCATCCATGTGGGAAATTCAGATTAAGTTCTCAGCTCTGGGTTTCAGCGTTGGACCCTACTCAACAGTTGTAGGAGTTTGTGGAGTTCTTTCATTCCTTCTGTCTCTACTCTCCCTGTCTCTCTGTCACTCCTTTTGTCTATGTATCAAATACATGCATGGGTAAAACTGTAAAGGAATAATGATAAAATATTCAAAATCAAAACTGCACAAGCCTACCCCACACAGATAATGAAATTATGTAAAATATTAAACATCTGTGTTGACATATACATTCATTCTTACCTGCTGATTTAAATAACAATTCACTCATTATGCAATGAAAACAATGCATTATGGAATGTGTAATATATAATAGAGTGAAATTCATGATGCTGATAATATTAGTAATGTAATGTGAGAATTTAGGAAACAATGTGTTTGAATCGATACAATAGTAATTTAAGTAGGATATTGTGACATGTAGAAATGTATGTTTAAATTTCTAATCACTACAAACTATCAAAACTGAGCAAAGAGAATGTGAAAATGGGAAATGTACAAAAAATGAACAGGTAAGGAAGAAAAGTGAAATTAGTAACTCATAGAAAACTATACTGAATCATTCACTGCGTTAAAAAGAAACCAGCTAAGATTTCACTAAAAATGGTAGATAGACCATAAGTTAAACTTTGAAAATTAGCCTGATCACATACTCATTATAAGGATATACAGGTAACAGATGAGAAAAAGCATGGGGAGGTTATATAGCATACAATCTCTCATCACTGAGTATGAATTTGGTGTGGCGCTTCAGACATACACAGACACCTGTGGCTAACATGGTACTGCTGGGCTTGAGTCCTGGCTCCACGCACAGTCCCAGCTTCCTATCAGTGCATACCCCAGCAGGCAGCAGATCAAGTCTCCAATGTTGGGTTTACTGTCACCTGGTGGCAGAGATTTGGATGGAAATACAGGCCCCTAGCTTTGGCTTGAGTAGTTGCTGGTGTTTGATGATGCACATGAGAATTCTCCCTATCTCAAATAATAAAAAATAAATAAATAAATAAAATCTAAAATATATAGTCATATGGATATAATTATTGCTTGGAGTTTACAAAAGAATAAAAATGATATTTTAACACTAAAGTCAAAATCTGCATAACCGTTTTGGATAATAACTTGGTAAAATAGCTTAACCTTGTATGTTTTTCACCTACAATTATGGTACTTACATTTTACTGCTCTATGACTAAATAAATATTCAAGTTAATTCATCAGAATGCAAGTATAATTTGAATTAACATGGATAAAATTTTAAAAATAGCTTATTAGTTAGAATACTATCACTCCTTTTATAAAATTATAAGGTAATAATATTTGATGCCTTGACATACAGTCTGTAATAAGTCTGGAAGAAGAAAAATGACTGTTAACATTTATTATAGTGATTACCATGTTAGTGGAAAGTAAAGCTTCATTTAAATGTTGAAGATAGAAGATCTGTTATATAGTATTCCTTTAAAACAATGAAATTTGTCAAAGCATAATATTCAAAACTTTCTGTTATGTCTATATTTGTGTATGTGTGTCATAATTGGCTTTAAAATTTAAAGTATAATCACTTAATAATCCTAAATTAGAGTTAGGACTGTCCTGTAATTTGAGTCTACTAATACTATCAGGATTCTACAACAATAATTGAGAAATATGTTGGCTATGCTTTATCATATTCTATCAAACATTATGTAATGGCCACACATTTCAGGGGAAGAGAAAAATGTTTCAGATAGGGGTCTACTTGTGATTGAAGACTGCTGACAGCTGTCAGCAGTGCCAGACCAGAAAATATGCTGCAGCAAAGGCAGAGAAGAAGGGAAATACTACTATTTAGTTGTGCTGGCAACGGCCCTCAACACACCACCACTGACTTTTCCCTCTATGTTTCTAATCCCTGTTATATTTTCAATTAGTTGCATGCATTAATAAAGCCTGCATTATATTTCAATATGTAGAATAAAAACACTTAACAGAGCAGGTCATGCTAACATGTTTATATAATCAAAAAACATCCATTAAACATGGGATAGAATGCATTTTAAAACAAAATGCATAAAATGATATGGGATTTATATGTTTTCACAGGAGAGGAGAAAATTTTTTAATTCTTTTTTTTTTTTCACGTAAATGGAACTAGAAAGGAGAGCTCCTTAAGGATTTCAACTATATACCATACATTGTGGCCCACTGAACGGAAGGAAAAGTGTATGGATAGGTAATGGTGTGACATTTATCACTGACGGTTCGTCTTGTGCATAGTGAATAAAGATCTATCTGTTGCTTTGTAACTTGTAGATAATTCTTGAAACTAGATGTAAATAAAGATATTTTCTATCATCAGACATATGGAATTTTTTTTTCTCATTTTCATTAAGATACTCATGGTCAAAGAAAGAAAACAGAGTAAGTCAGAATGATGAATTTGGTGCCAGTCTAGCGTAGGATGAATGTTGAGGCAGGGAAATGTGAATGG